CAAGATAATAGTTAGGGTTGAGAGTCAATTCCATTGTTTTCTACACACAGACACACAGACACACACACACACACACACACACACACACACGCCCGCACACACACACACACACACACGCACACGCGCCCACACACCTCCCCTGGGGTTCCAGTCTATGGCCTGAGACTAAGCTCTGCTTGCCTGCCCGGCTCATAGCCGCCCTGAGCAGGTTGATGGCTTCTGTATGTTTGTCTGGGTTTAATAATCTTCCATCGTTAGTAGAAAAAGTCCTATTACGCCGGCCGCCCTACCACTGCAGGAGCAGAACTGAGGCTTGACACATTTCGTTGCCTGGTAAAATCTTTTCAATTCTCTCTGGAGTACCATGGTAAACTCTAGCTTTGGAGCAGAGGTAGACAGATTGATCCAGCCTGCCTCCTGTTTTTGTTAGAATGGTTTTTATATTCTTAAGAGGTTGAAAAAATCAAAAGGAAAATACTGTTTTGCGACACACGAGAACGATGTGAGATTTAAATTCCAGTGCCCGTAATGAAGTTCTGCTGGAACCTGGCTGCCTGGGTTTGTTCTTGGATTTCCCACTGTTGCTTTCTTGCTGCAGCAGCCTGGCTCTGTGGCTGTGAATGAGACTGCGGGAGGGGGGGGGGGGGAGGCACAAAACTGTTTATGCCTGACAGTTCACAGAAGTTTGCCTAGCCGCACTTTAGGACATGATACAGCTCTTTCCGGGTTTAGAAGGTCAGGGTTTCTCTCCAGGACAGTAATGCTGAGGACATCTGACTTCAACCGTGGAACTTAGGGCCACAACTGATTGTTGTGGGATTGAAGATGGAAAGAAACAGCTAGGGCAAGCTTCCAGTCCACTCGGATAGCCAGGTGTGGCCCTGCACACGGGGAGGCAGAAGCAGGCCTGCCAGGCTTAGGTCTTGAAACCCTGTCTCAGGGAAGAAGAGGGAGGGAGGAGAGGGGAGGAGACACAGAGGACCTCTAGAGGAATGGATGTCAGATGTTTTCAAATAGTTCTTTCCTTCTAGAAGAGGACAAAAGGCACCAGTGACTGACAACCTGGAGCCATGAGACACCTAATTTATCAGTGCCATTGTCCTCTCTCTTCTCTTGTCACCTCCTTGCTGCCCCCACCCCACCCCCGTCTGGTGGGGAAGTCCCAGAAGCAATAAAATGGCCAAAAGGTGGCAGCAGGAGGGAGAAGGGACACAGGGAGGGAGAGGAGACAAGGTGCCTCGTCAGTCTCTCTTTCAAAGTTAGGGCCAAAGTTGCTCTAGCTTTGAAAGGGAACCTTTTCTGGGTCCTCCCACTACCAAAAACAAATGAATCAGAGCACCTGTGAGCTACCATTGCTTCAGCCTCCTCCCAGGTGCTGGGGACTGTAGCCTTGCTGCGGATAGCTTTTATGACTTACCATTTGAAGGTCTCTATCATTTTAAAGTCAGAAGTATAAGTACTTAACTTTCTCTGATACTTCCTTGCTAGAGGCCAGAATAAAAAGTTTATTAATGATCACTTTGTTTTGAATTAAAACAAAAAATTTTCAAAGTCAGAAAGAACAAGAACTATTGTGTGACTTCACAGGAACATACCCACGCACTGAGCAGACAAAGAGTTCCCAAAGGAAGCGGACCCTGCATGCAGGGGCCGGCAGGAAGCACACTTGGGAGGGAGGGTCTTGGAGACCAGTTTTCTGCCCCTTGTTTTTTTTCCAGTGACTCTGAAGAAGCATGGTAGTTGCTGTCTAGACTTGGTCTTAGGATTTCTTTTTTCAGCCATGTTCAAATTCTATACAGACCAAAGCTAAATACAAGAAAGAACTGGTGTGTAGTTAGAGCCGTTCTTTGGAACCTGTTATAAAAAAGCATTAAGTGGAATGCAATGTCCAGTAAAGAATGGCAAATCCCTGGTGAGTGGAGCTGGTCTTGGGGCCCAGCCCCTGGACTCACTGGGGTTTGGGTGGTAACTCTTTAACACCTTCCACTCCTTGCTTTTATTTGTTGGGTACAAGCCTGCCATGGCACACCTGTGAGCTCCCTTTCTCCCTCTGTCAAGTGGAACCCCAACTCTGTCATGCAGGCTCTGCTTTTTCCTCCTCATGATACTGAATGGCCTCAGCTTTATTCCCAGCCTTGGCCCGACATACACACCTTCCCCCTACTTTGTAATTTGTGTTTTGTTCAGCGACCTGCACACACCCTTCAGGCTGCTGTCTGACTGCAGAGCACCCTCCCAGCAATCACCTGGCTTTCCTTCCTTCCTGGTCTGACCTATGGCACCAGTCATGATTGTCCTAATTAAACTTTAGTCTTGCAGATAATTCTAATGGAATCATATTTAGGCCCTCCCATCACATTTATTCTTTCTAAACCTGTGTTTATAGTATGCAGGAGTCCATGCTGGAGAGGTGACCCCAGGGTCAAGAGCATATATTATTCTTCCTGAAGGACCTGAGCTCAATTCCCGGCACCCACGTAACAGACTCATCAGCTGCCCTAAACTCAAGCTCCAGGGGATATGACATCTATGGCCTCCTCGGTAACCCATACACAGCCCTACAGACACACACATACACATGAGTAAAATTTTTTTTAGTTAAAAAAAAAAAGCCTGGTGGTACCTGGTATTGCACACTTTTAATCCCAGCACCCAGGAGGCAGAGGCGGACAGATGTCTCTGAGTTTGAAGCCAGCCTGGTCTACAGAGTGAGTGCCGGGAAAGCTGGAAACTACACAGAGAGACAACAAATCCTGAGCCTCCAACATACATAGCTAAATAAATTTAAATTTCATTTTAAAAAATAAATAAGCAAAAATAACACATGTGCCACATGTGCTTTGCATAGGGACTTCTTGTAGGGTGTCTGTGGCATGTGCACAGTCCGCTGATCGTGCACGAGTGCTGGGTCGGTGCAGATCCCACAGGAATATTGAATCCCATCCGTTTCCACCCCACCCCAGCCACACGATTCTCAAATGGACACACAGGCCGTTCCTGAAAGAAAATGTAAGCTTGGATTTGCTGTAGTAGTGAGCACTAGTGACTAAATGAAAGAACATTATGCAAAAACTGATAGTTTTCTTTTCCAAAAGAGAACAGGTGGGGGCTGGAGAGGTGACTCAGAGGTTAAGAGCACTGGCTGCTCTTCCAGAGGTCCCGAGTTCAATTCCCAGCAGACACATGGTGGCTCTCAACCATTTTCAGAGGGAGGGTTTTTTTGTTTTGTTTTGTTTTGGGGGTTTTTTTGTTTGTTTGTTTGTTTGTTTTTTGAGACAAGGTTTTTCTGTAGCTTTGGAGCCTGTCCAGGAACTAGCTCTTGTAGACCAGGCTGGCCTCATACTCACAGAGATCCTCCTGCCTCTGCCTCCCGAGTGCTGGGATTAAAGTTGTGCGCCACCACTGCCTCAGCTCACAACTATAACTCCAATCCTAGGCAATCCATCACCTTCTTCTGGGTCTGGGTATTAGGTTATTAGGTACACATAAGATGCATAGACACGCATGCAAACAAAACACTCATACATATAAAGTAAATAAAATGTTTTAGAAGTACAAAATTTATTTCTAATTTTTTAATTTGCATATGGAGAATTAGGAAAACTTTTTTCTTCAAGACAGTGTCTCACTACAGAGTAAATTTGCAATTAACCTAGACTAGCCAGGTGGTGGTGGTACATGCCTTTAATCTCAGCACTTGGGAGGGAAAGGCAGGTGGATCTCAGTGAGTTTGAGGCTAGCCTGGACTACAAAGTGAATTCCAGGACAGCCAGGACTGTTATGTAGAGAAACCTTGTCTTAGAAAACCATAAAAATAAAAAAAGAAAGAAAGAAAGAAACTAAATTAGCCTAGCCCAGCCCCATTCTCATAACCATCCTCCTGCCTCAGCCTCTCAAATGCTGAGATTACAAACGTGTCACTGCCTCTGGCTGGGCGGAGCCTTCTTTAGGAAATTTAAATAGCTGATGTGGTTGGAAGCTGTGATTATGGGTAATTTTTTTCACTCTTTCTTTTAAACTTTTCTTTCCTTATTGTTATACATTTACTTATGTACTAACTTAAAATAATGGATTGAGGAGGAAGCTTCAAATTTATAAATTACAATGAGTCAGATTTTCTCTCTGCTGGAAATGTAGTTGAGGTAGTAAAGAAGCTGCCTAGCATTCATGTGAGGCCCTGAGTTCAATCTCCAGGATTCCATAAAACACACCTGTACACAGCAAGTCAAACAGGATCAAAATTTCAGGGTCCTCCTCGAGTACATAGCCAGTTCAAGGACATCATGGACTACGTGAGACCCTGCCTGGAAACAAACACAAACAACATTATCTTCCAGCACAGCTTGCCCATCTATTTCTGGTCTTCAATCTTGACCTCTCAGCAACCTGGGAAGGAAGTAATGAAAGAGACAGGAGAGAAGTGTCTTGTCTTGACCCCAGAGTCAGCATAGAAGATGCTGATACTTCAGAGAAATGACGTCCCAGGAGTATAGGACTGCAGATGCCTCCAAACACCGACCATCCCCTTTGGTCCCTCCCACCATCCTATTCTGATCTGAGGACATGGGGTGGCCTGGAGACACGGTAGAGAGCAGCTGTGGAGTTCATTGTCTAGTGTGTTTGAGTTCGAATCCTGCTTTGTCTCAGACTGGGTGTAACTTGGGCAGGTTATTGTTTAGACTTCATGTTTCTTATGTGCGAGATCGGAAAGTCGTGAGTCTGTCTCATGGAACTGTAGGAAGAGCTGGTGAACTAGGAGGCCTCACTAGAAAAAGGCCAGAGGCCACTGAATGCTCTTATTTTACCCTCCTTGGCGTAGGAGCTCCCCTGCATGTGTTTTCCGGGCATCCTTAGTTAATTCATCAGCTTTCTTTGCTTCCACAGATGAGCTGAGAATTGCCAGGTCGTATCTATGTGTTGGCTTAATCTGAGCTCTGAAGACCTTCTGTTCCCTCCCCTGTGTCTGTTTATTGAAGTGACTTTCTTGTTTTCCTTTGCAGATCTATGTAATTGACAGTGCAGACAGAAAAAGATTTGAAGAGACGGGTCAGGTAAATGATTCTTATGTGCAGCTCATTCCCAAAACACCGGGTATTCATTAATCTACCTGAAGTGTGTGTGAGGGAAAGGGGCTTTTGTTCCAGTTCAAGGAAGAGGCTCCTTCTGTCAAGAAGGCAGAAATACCAGCTGTCCACAAAGAAATTAGTTTCGAGTCTTTTACTCTATCTTTTGATGGAAGCCTTTTAGTTTAATCAAATTTACTATATAAGATATAAGCAGATGGGCTCTGGGGAGATGGCTCAGAGGTTAAGAGCACTGACTCCTCTTCTAGAGGTCCTGAGTTCAATTCCCAGCAACCACATGGGGGCTCACAACCATCCATAGTGGAATCTGATGCCCTCTTCTGGCATACAGGCATATATGCAGACACAACACTGTATACATAATAAATAAATGAATTAATGAATGACTAAATCTTTAAATCTATATGTTGCATGTATATGCGAATATATATGCCCAAATGGAACTTCACATCACACCCCAAAGTCCTTCTGTGTTTTTCCCCAGACCTTGTGGAAACAAACTCACGAACATCACAATTAGCTTTTCTATTTACACTTTTCAATACTTAATTGGCCGAGAGTAACTTCAGCAAATTCAGCAGGATGAGAAGAAAGATACAGGCTAAAACTAAGCTACTCATTTCAAGCAAGGAGACAAGGCCAGCCTTGAATTTAAGCATGACTTCATGACATGCAGGGTGCATGTCAACATGGTTAGATGGAATTGTTTCTGTCCATAGTCATAGGCAGAGCAGCAGGGGGCCTGCCCATTGAGACCAGAGTGAGGTCCCCAGCAGGAGCAGCAAGGGTGAAGGGAATCTCTAGGGCATGTTTGGGTCCTAGTGCAGAAATTTTGACTCGTTTTCAAAGGCAGAAATCGCCATACTTCTATTCCTTTTTCTTGGAAAGTGGGTTGAGGAGTCTCCTGGAGACATCACAGCTGCCTTCTGTGCCCCAGTGGTTTCTGGGTCATCGCTGCGGTGAGCCAGTGCTGTACTTGAGCTTGGGGCAGGGTGTCCTGGGAACTAGCTGCCTCTTGAGCTGGCTAGTTTTTTTGTCTCTTTGTTTTTGTTTTTTGGACATAGGGTCTCACTATGTAGCCCCAGCTGTCCTGGAGCTCACTGTGTAGACCAGGCTGGCCTCAAACTCACAAAGATCCACCTGCCTCTGCCTCCTGAGTGCTGGGATCAAAAGTGTGTGCCACTATGCCTGCAGCTTTCCAGTTTTGTTGTTTTTTTTTTTAAGCTGAATGTTTAAAGTAACTAAAAGATGAGCTTAGAGGGAAAGAGGCAGAGCCTGTCCTTTAGGTAAGTGTATGTACTCCTTACCACAGACAGAATTAACTTGCAGTTTGGAGTTCTGCCTGTGACCTAGAGGCCCAGGGAAGGTCTGGTCTCTTCCAGTTCTTTCAGGATGTGTGTTTGATGACTGTTGATGTTTGGGTGCATGTTTAGGAGACAGAGATGAATGGACACAGTGATCTCTGCCATTTTCATTTCTGTGCATACATGTGTGTACACACATTAAGTTATTGTGGGGGTGTGGGTCTAACCCAGTGAGGGACACCTGCTTAGGATATATAAGGCCCTTGGTTCAATCCCCAACACCAGAGGAAAAATGAAAAAGACACCTGTAGGTGGTTATCTTGAATAAGTCTGAGATCTCTAACCACTGTCTATGTTCTTCCTTAAACGGTGCCTCTCAAGGGGCTGGAGAGAACATTGGCTGCCCTTCCAGAGGACCTGGGTTCAAGTCCCAGCACCCACATGGCAGCTCACACCTGTCCGTAGCTCGGTTCCAGGGAATCTGACACCCTCACATCAATGCATATAAAATAAAATTTAAAAAAATATATAAAAAGCAAAAGACCAGTGGCTCTAGGGGTATTTCTCAGTGTGGTCTATAAGTCACTTACAACAGAACCACCTGGGAAGTCTGTTAATAGAGCTTCCTAGATGCTGTCATCAGCATCCCTAGAAATTTACTAGGGAATCTTACACAGGTACCACCTGAGAGTCTCTGCCTTGAAAGTTGCTGCTGATCAACTTAACTGCTTAATGATTCCAAATGCACGCGATTCTCCAGTTCTCGCGCTTCTCTCCTCTCTCCTCCCCAATGGTCCAGGAGCTGACAGAGTTGCTGGAGGAGGAAAAGCTGAGTTGTGTGCCAGTGCTCATCTTTGCTAACAAGCAGGACCTGCTCACAGCAGCCCCGGCCTCTGAAATTGCAGAAGGGCTGAACCTCCACACCATCCGGGACCGAGTCTGGCAGATCCAGTCCTGCTCAGCTCTCACAGGCGAGGGCGTCCAGGTGAGACCTTGGCAGGAGTCCATTCCCTGTCAACCTGGCAACTCACTAAGGCAGTCTGCCTCCCTGGTAGGGTTGAGCTAGACCAATGGTTCTCAACCTGTGGGTCCCTTTCACAGGGGTCACCCAAAGACCATCAGGAAGCATAGATATTTACATTACGATTCATAACAGTAGCAAAATGACAGCTGTGCAGTAGCAGCGAAGTAATTTTATGTGGGGTCAGCACAGCAGGAGGGACTGTGTTAAAGGGTCGCAGCGTCAGGAAGGGTGAGAACCACTGCTCTAGGAAAAAAGATTTGGAGCAAATGGCCATTGATTGGCAGATGAACCATTCTAGAAAGTGAAGGCAATGGAAAGAGGTTGGTTCTTTGCTGCTTAGAACCCAACCAGATGCCAGGCAGTGGTGGTACATGCCTTTAATCCTAGCACTCGGGAGGCAGAGGCAAGTGAATCCGTGAGTTCGAGCCCAGCCTGGTCTACAAGAGCTAGTTCCAGGATTGGCTCCAAAGCAATACAGAGAAACCCTGTCTCGAAAAACCAGAAAGGAAAGAGAGAGAGAGAAAGCAAAAAGAAACCAGAAACCAACCAGGTGCCATAAAGTGTTCCAAAGGAACCTTGGAACCTTCAGCATATTCTCCTCACTTGGAGGAAGGCTCAAGAGGTGACTTGGAGATTGGTCTGACTCTGGAAATGTTTGACGATTGTGTTGGCATTCAGTGTCAGTGCTAATATTATAGATGGTAAAAGCTTCTACTCCCAAAGTGATTATCATCGCAACCATACAAATGCTCGTTGGCCTTGAAATACCTCTGTTTATTCTTAGTTCTCTCCCCTGCCCTGGGCTTGGTGTCTGTTTCCAGCTCCTGGTGTTGATTTCCCACTGGGAGGCTTCTATGGACACAAAGCCCTATGCTTTATACTGAGGAACTGTACACCAGGAGATTGAACACCCTCTTGTTTAATATTAATTTAGGGCAGAGCACAGCCCTGTCCCAGTCATCCAAGAGGCTGTATTCTCAAAAAGAATAAGTCACACATTTCCAACTCAGGGACTTCCTACCAAACTGCTCAACTCAGCGGCACTCCGTAGTCAGCCCTTTCAGATGACCAGACTCCTCCACACTCCTCAGTTCAAGCATCTGGTCTGTCTAGCAGGACGCTCAGCAGTGCTGCGAGGACTGGTTCAGACTGCTCTAGGCTCATGTCTTCCCTCCTTGGCGTATGGTAGGTCCATAACAGCATGGCAGTTTGCTGTTCTCTCAGCTTGGCATGTTGGGTTGCAGACCTGAGGTTTGGTTCTTGACCACTGCCCACAGCCTCTTCCCACTTGCTTTTCCTTTCTAATGTCCCCTCCCCTCAGACATTGACACTGGTTTGTCATTTGATGGTCTGATCGCTTTTATCGCACGCAAATAACCACATCCTAGAATTATGTCAGTCCTAACATGTTTGCTACCTGGTTTTTGTTTTGTTTTTCTTTGTTAACAAAAATAGTCATGGCTGACTTCTATGTATGTCCTCTAGAGTTGAGCTAGACAGGTGTCCCCTCCTCAGACTGCTCATACCTGTACCCCAAAAGTTTTCCATGAATGTATGTTGGGATTCCTTAGAACCCAGGGATTACCACAGTTAAATCTTCAAAATGTATTCTGGAGTAGTCTATGAGGTTTAAGTTTGGGAGAGTTGGTATTTTGGAGTTTTGAGATAGGGTCTCTTTTCATAAATTTAAAAAAAAAAAGAAATTTAAAGCTGGTCAATGGTGGCGCACGCCTTTAATCCCAGCACTTCAGAGACAGAGGCAGCCAGATGTCTGTGATTTCAAGGCTAACCTGGACTACAGAGCTGATTTCAGGACAGCCAGGACTATACAAAGAAAGCCCTGTCTTGAAGAAAACAATTGTCATTTTATTTTATGAGTATGGGTGTTTTGTGTGTGCAACCTTCATGAGTGCTGTGCGTATGGAAGCCAGAAGAGGCTGCAGAGTCCCTTGGGATTAGAGTTACAGTTGGTTATGAGCTACCCACCACATAGGTGCTGGGACTGAAACTCCAGTCCTCTAGAAGAGCAGCCAGTGTCCCGAACTACAGAATTCTCTCCAGCCCCAAGATAGGGTGTTTTGTAGCCATGCTGGCCTCAGACTCTCTACATAACTGAGGCTGATCTCCTGACCTTCCTCCCTCAGCACCCAGGGTTGAGATTGCAGGATGAACCACCATACCCCACTGTAAATCTTATTTCTTCCTAGATTCTGGCTCCACTGAGCATTGTGGATTCCTCCATACCCTGAAGTTCTAGGCTAGCCCAACAAGATCCTATCTCAAATGTGCATTTTTCCTCTTATTTTTAAATGTATGAAAGTTTATAAAGTTGGTGAGCTAAGGGCATGACTCTGTGGTAGAATGGTTGTCTTGTATGGAAAGGGTTCTGGGTTAATCTCAACAGCATAAAAATGCACAGAGAAAGTGGGCATGACAGTACAAGCCTGCATTCCCAGTTCCTGGGGGTGAAGAAGGAGCAGGGGTTCAAAGCCATCCTTGGGGGTGAAGAGGGAAGAGGGGTTCAAAACCATCCTCAGCCAGCCTGGGCTATGTGAGATTGTCTCAAAGGCAAGTAAAAAATTGTTTTCTCTCTCCTAAGTTCTACTCTACAAAGGGACTAACTACTGTTCTTCTAGATTCTTCCTTATGAAACTGCTGCCACATATGCCATTATATGGACAAGCATGTCTATCAGGCCTTTGATTTAACTGCATTTTTCAGGGTCACTTACAACCCAGTCCAAGTATGCTATGCCATGGGATGTTGGTAGTAGGTAAATGCTGATAGTCTTATTTAACCTTGTCCAGTTACAACTCTCTTTAAAATGAAAAGATCTAGCCAGGCAGTGATGGCGCACACCTTTAATTCCAACACTCGGGAGGCAGAGGCAGGCGAATCTCTGTGAGTTCAAGGCCAGCCTGGTCTACAGAGTGAGTTTCAGAACAGGCTCCAAAGCTACAGAGAGAAACCCTGTCTTGAAAAATAAACAAAAAAAAAAAGAAAAAGAAAAGAAAGAAAGAAAAGAAATATGAAAAGATCTAGTTCTACACATACCCAAAAAATAAAAAGGAAAAGATCTAAGCCCACAAGTGCCCATGTGTACAGGGTCATTTGGTGAGACATAAACTGGGAAATGGCAGCTTTCTTGTTGTTTTTTCCATCCCTGAGGATGGAACCCAGGTCATGGGAATAGCGGGCAAGCACTCTACCTACTGAACTACAGCCCCAGACCAGCTTTCCCGTGTTATAAAGCATTCTAGTATGTGGACTCTGCCCTTGTGCATGGCTCCGAACACGGATGTTAGATGCTCAGGGGCATCCAGGTGTTGGGAACTGTACAGGTGGACTGAGGAGAGGAAGCGGGTTGTACTTGCATGTTCATCAGAATGTGGACTCATGGTCCTGTGACCTCTCTCTTGGCCAGAGTAGAGAAAGCATGGAAAAGCTAAGCTGGAGTTACCAGTGAAACTTGTTTCTTCAGCCTGCTGTGGATAGGAAAGGGGCAGCCAGAGTAAATGATCTAGAGTCACTACTCGGCACAGTGACGCTGAAGTCAAGGGCATATACCCTGAGAACCTGAGGGTAACCAGGGAGGGCCTGTCTGGGTAATCACCAAGGTACACAGCGCCCCCTACAGGGCCTCTTCCCTTCCTTTCTCCCTCTCTCCTTTCATCCAAGCTGGAAACCAAACTCAGAGCAGTGAACATGGTAGGCAAGACTCTTCCAGTGAGCTCCATCCCCAGCCTCCTTTGTAGATCCCTTTGGCCAAGGCAGCAGCCTACTAGGCAGTTAGACAGTGCGGGTGGGAGTGGTGAGGGGCACCTGTAAGTAATAAGCCAGTCTGAATAAAGCGAGGTTAGACCTGCAGCAACCATAGCACAGGAAGTGACATCAAGAGAGATCCAGGGTCAGCAAGGTGGATCAGTGGATAAAGGTGATTGCCACCTAACCGGATGAATGACCTGAGTTCGATCCCCAGTACCACAGGGCAAGAGCAGAGAACTGACTCCCAAAAGTTATCCGCTGACTTACACACAACAGATAAATATATTAATTAATCAAAATGAAATCATATGAATGAGAGAGAGAGATCCAGCAAAGAACTGAGAGCAAAGAGAATGATTTTGTACAGAGGACAAATAGTTTGAAGGTCACTTAATTAGTTTGTAGATAGTACCAGGGTGTGCAGAATTGGATAGTTAAGACTGGGATTTCAAGGTTAATGAGATTAGATTATGGTTAATAGAATGATATAAATTTAGAGAATTTAACCATTATTTGAAATGGGTTATTTAATAAAAATGTTAATTAAGAAGGGAATCTGATGTCTATTGTCCTTTCATGGTAACCTTTGGGGACCAGAGAAAGGTCATGGAACCTTCTATAGAAGCGCTTGTCACTATCAGGCAGCATTGACCATGTTCCTCCCTCAGGTGATGCCACTGACCTACACTCCTGTGCACTCAGCCAGTTTCTTGGTTTTTACCTTTAAAAGAGTCGCTTCAATATAATTCCCTTCCAGGATCGCCTGGCGAAAGTACAGGCCTTTCATGGCTCTTAATTAAGGCTTAGAATATCCCTAAAAATGAAGAACTTTGCTAGGAAAATGACTGTAAGGTTTAGCTATTTGGGGCTCACTTTCAGATATGAATTCAGTATCATACTGACTAAAAACTCCCTAAATTCCAGTGTTGTTCTCACCCCGCCGAGCCTCCCCAGAAACTGCCGAGTGGCCTAGCTGCTGACATCTGGTACCACCTCTTTGACAGCCCAGAAAGGAAACATAGGAAAGTCTGCAAAAGGGAAAGGGGAACGGCACAGGATCTGTGTTATAGTTGTGGGTGCTAAAAGCATCTGCTGTCTGAACACTGTGTGTGTGTGTGTGTGTGTGTGTGTGTGTGTGTGTGTGTGTGTGTGCAGATATCAATCAAGACACACCTGGTGGCCTTCAAGAGGCTCAGCACACTTACTCTAAACCTGATGACCCAAGCTCGGCCCCTGGAACCTACATGGTGTGAGAGAACCAGCTCCAGCGGGGTTGTTCTCTGTGCCCCATACACATGCCGCGGCTTGCCTGGCCACCCCCACTATATCCAAACACATACACACAATAGCCGAAAGAATAGATGAATGAGGGGCTGGCGAGATGGCTCACATTTAAGAGCACTGGCTTCTCTTCCAGAGGACTTGGGTTCAATTCCCAGCACCTATATGGAAATTTACAACTGTCTGTAACTTCAAAATCTGACACCCTCACACAGACACACTTGCAGGCAAAACACCAATGCACATAAAATAAAAAGAAATAAATTATATAAAAAAGAAAACCAGAAAGATTAAAAAGAAGAATGAATGAATAAGTAAAAGCTAAAACATTTACAAACAAAAACAGCTCTAGAAATGTGCCATACTAACCAGTAGCAAGGACCCCCGAGTGGTCTAGTCCAGAGAACAGCCACAGGCCGACAGGTGATGTACCCTATGCTCTCTGGCCAAGCAGGCCAGGTACACTACTGTCACTAGGTAAGTGGTTTGAACACATGATCTGAGACCGTGGGAGTTGGTGATTCTGGGCTGAAATTCCTGGGTGGAATTTGTATCTGATATTCTCAGGCACACTTGTGTGATCTTTACAAGACAATACCATGTGCCCAGCTGAGAGTGGACACAGCGCGAGAGAGTCCAGAGCAGATCTTTCCTTGCCTGACTGGTGGCCACTAGGAGGCCAACCTTCACGTGATTAAAGCGGGTTTTCATGGGAAATTCTCATGAGCAGAGAATAGGTGAAGGGCACCAGACCCTGGAGAAGAGCATCGATCTTGGCAACTTCACCTTGCTGAGAAGACTGTAGTCCAGAGGAGTGAACAGAAGGGACCCTGTTACATCAAAGCAGAAAAGGGGAAGTGACAAATGTGTGGGAGGGGTTACCTAAACCCCTCAGCCAGTCCCCTTCATCAGGAGGATGTGGAGGGGTTACCTAAACCCCTCAGCCAGACCCCTTCATCAGGAGGATGTGGAGGGGTTACCTAAACCCCTCAGCCAGTCCCCTTCATCAGGGGGATGTGGAGGGGTTACCTAAACCCCTCAGCCAGTCCCCTTCATCAGGAGGAAATGCCCCTCCAGCCCCGGGAGGTTGGGCGTTCGGCTGGGGCCCCCCCCCCCCCCCCCAGGATCTGCCATCTAGCACTTGGTCCCTTGTCCTTTTTCTTCTGAATGAGCCTCTAAGTAGGAAATGGCCTACAAAAGCTCTGGCTTAGGTCAAAAACAAAGTTCTAGAAGCAGCATCCTGCTTGCACCTGCCGCCGTGACTCCTCCCCAGAGCACGTCTGTATGGCTGCTGTAGTTTCAGGGGTTTGGAGACATTTTTCTGACACACAGTGTGCCTGGTTGTTCTGGCTCGGGATTTCCATTTAAAGCAGAAGTCAGCAGTTTGAAGCTGGCGGTCGGCGTCACTACAGTCCCCGGCCTGCACCAACGACTTTGAACGGGCAGTGTTCCGTGGGTGTTGCTCTCCAGGCCACCACCTCTAGATCACCCCGATTCCTTCCCTTCATTCTCCAAACGGGAAGGATGACCAGTCACGGTGCCTTCACCGTCTCTGTCCCTAAGGAGGGTCAGCAGTGGGCTCGTGGAGGTGCGGGCCGTGCTTCCTGCCTCTGCTGCTTTTTCCTTGATCTAGGGGCGTGTTTCCTAGCCTGCTGACAGAATTTGATTTTTTTTTTCTTTGCAGGAATAGAAGTTGAACCCAGTATCTTGTTTTTGCTAAGCCCTTATTCTGCAATGGAGCTGCTACACTCCCGAGCCCCAATTTTTTCAGTATTTAAAAATATGATGTCTAGTCCTTCTTTCTAGGCCTGGGATCAGTCGGTACTTCCTCCAGACATGCACAGACTACATATCCAGCAGTCGGACCTCAGGTGCTGACAGGTGCTGACTTGTATATCTGCAGCCCTCTCTATGAACTAAGAGTGAGCCTATGGCATGTGATTTGCTTGCTCCCTCCCTGGTGCACTGCCCTTTGTCACCAGAAAACTGAACAGCAAGCAATATTTTATGTGTGCTGCCTGCATTCAGCTGCTCCTTGACCCCAGGGGCCTAAAGGCACAATGGGACAGGCTGCAGGGCTCAGCCAGGGTCTGAGTGCCTTGTCGTCCTAAAGCAATTACTGAAGTGACCACATAGGCAGCCCAGTTTTAAAATCCAGCCCAACCAACCATGGCCACCACTGCTCCCTTCCATCCACCCAACGATGATGGCACCGAACTGAGATCAAATCAAAAAGAACGGTGCAGCCAGAGCCCCGCCCCACCCACAGGCTGGCAGTGCACCTTGAATCTGGGACTGACTAGTGTGAACAGGATGGTTAGTAGGTTTCCACCATATAGCAGGGCAGCCTTGCACCACCCACGGTCACTGCACTGTGGGGATGTTCCTGCGACAACAGAGACTTGTATTTCCTCTCCAGGAAGTCACACAAAGACCAGCATTTGAGGTTCCCTGTCTCTCTTTAGTCTCTATTATTGAATTGAAACTAATCAATTCAAATTCAGTTTCAGCAAGATTGGTCGGGAAAGGAAAGGGGAGACTGTTCACACCAAAGATAGTCATTCCCATAGTGAAGATCAAGTGCGCAGGAAATTGGTCAAACCAGTTTTCAACAATGAAAGGTTCAACCTTAAACAAACCCATGAGTTCATTTCCTTCTTCAGAGACAGCAGAGTCGCCTCCTTCAAGTAAGCAATCACCTCCTCTCAGAAAAGCTAAACCCACCATTCACTTAAGCACAGAGAAGTCCACCGTTCTCTTAAACATAGAAGCAGAAGGCTCCCATATCCACTGGACACGAATGTCCAGCCTTCTGCAGGCCTAGATTCTGGCAGACTAGGAATATTCTGGTTGTTTTAGAGCTGTGGCAAGGCAGGCAGAGTTCCTTGACAGGGGTTTCTCCTGTCTTTGCCCTGTATTCAGCTGAAGGAAGCCATGAGGAAAAAGAACCCATTGGAATGGCCTTGCCCGCCTGCCTTCCAAGGCTGCCCAGTTGCTCTGTAAATTAGATGCAGCGCTCTTCTCCCGCCACCCTCAGCCAGAGACGCAGTGACTGGTGTATGGTCCTCAGTGGGAAGACAGGCGCATTTCAGGGCCCACCTCTGCTCTGAATTATTCTATTCTTCATTTCCTTGTTTGCAATATGGAAACAATAATATATTCACTGGGTGCTTATGAGAATTAATTTTAAAGACTATAAATTAAATATGGGCCATATTAAACCAGACAGCCTGCCAGTCCCTTGCTTAGACTCTCCCATCTTGGTTTTTGGATAACACTATTATCTTTCCTTTCCAGTGGGCTACTTGACAAAGCTTGCCCTTACTTGATTTATGAGGTATTGTCACAGAGAATTGTGGCCTTCCTCATTCCCCTCCCCTTCAGCCCCCAAATGCTGGGACTCAAAGGGGCCTCCCCAAGCCCTGCAGAGGCCCAGGGCTTTGCCCCAGGATAGTACCAGGGGCTGGGGGCAACCTTGGGTGCTGGCCTCTGAGCGCCCTCTGTTGACAAGACCATGCTGGGCAGGCCTCCACTCTAGATTCTGACATCTGCAGGACAGCACCCCTCAGCAGGCCATGCCCTTTAAGCCCCTTTCCCCCCTCCACAGAGTATGGCTCCCTCCACCTTCCGCTTTGAGTGTCTGCAGCTGAGTAAATATTTTCCCTATCTCTTTCCCTACCCTTATGTTCGTTGAGATATAATAAAAGGAACCCCCTTCTTCACCAGTCATAAACCAAGAAAAAAGACAAAACACTATTGGCGTTGTGCGGGGACAGTTGCTTTCCTGGAGAAGCTGCTCTGGTAAAAAACCGCTGTGTCTGTGGAGAGGAGAGCGTGGTGACAGACGGCCGCTGTGTCTGTGGAGAGGAGAGCGTGGAGACAGAGGCACCTTGGGTGTTTGTGCTGCCTGTGTGCTGAGTTCTTCAGCTGTGGAGCAAGAGAAGATGGTTGTCTGTTCATCCCTCCTGTCTGTGTAAAATTCTTTTTTGTCTCCTGGCAGGTGATCATTTTTTTTTCCTAGAAACCAATTAGCTACTAAAATTAAACATGCTCTCTTTAAATGACTCTTTTTTCATAAAACGGCTTTAAAACTGCTCGGTTTCTCGGGATGTGCTGCTGACCCAGTAATCAGATGTGTGTTGGGGGTCCCCTCGCCCCGTCCTCCGCTGCCCAGCCGCAGCCAGGTGCTCTCCACCTGAAGGCTCTTTGCCAAGGCCAGGCCTCATCTTGGCAAAGCACAATGTCCCTCAGATCCTCAGGTTCTCCTGCCCAAGTGCCCTGATGGCAGCTGGTGGAGTTTTAATCACTGTAAATGCAGGTGACTGGGCAGATTAGCCAGGAGAAAGAAAGGTACCTGCTGGTTGTTTTGCAGTGATGTATTGTTTACGGGATTAATGTCCTGGGGCCAAAGGTGTCCGCTGATATTTACTGCTGTAAGCTGTCTTAGCTGTTCTGGTTCAGCAGCCAGATCCACAGCCATCAGAAACGTGGGGTTTGAAGTGTGGGGCGTCACGTGGTCGTGTGTGTGTGTTTGATAGCACACGTATGTGTATGTGAGACCCAGACCCCAGACTCTGGGCAAGATGCCCTGCAGGACCCACCTTGAGTTCTGGTCTGTGCTTCTGAGGGCGTTTGCACATGCCTGAAGGGCTGGAGTTTCTGGGGAGGGGTGCGTGTCCAGGTATGCTCCAGAGGGGGTTGAAAAGGAGGTCATGTCTGACAGGCCTGGCATCTGTGAGGAATTGTGCTGCCTACCAAGTGGCTGTAGGCAGTGTGTGTGTGTTTTAACCTCGGTCCCTCTCCAGCCTTCTAAAGAGGACAGTTTCAAGGTCACTGTGCCTTTAAGGGAACCTTCTGTCCTTCCCTCTGTCCTAGTAGGGCTTAAAGCAACAAGAAGCTGCTTTTAAGCCTCTCTACAGACATAGTGTGTATTGCCCCTGCGTGTGTGGAGTAACACCCACTGCAGAGGGTTGTTTTTCCAAAATGAAATTTAATTTAACCCAAGTGTACACTGTCACACTGTAAACACGCTGGGGCACCAGAAGGGTAGCTCATTGAATTAATGCCCTAGCAAAGGTCAGCTGTTAGAAAAAGCCAAAAATGGCTGGAATCCTTCCTGATAGCGCCACAGTCAAGCCCTGGACCAGGCAGGTGTGTTTATTTTTTCAGAGGGAGTTCCTGAGAATGAATCTCAAGTTCAGCTGCTGGCTCCCTCTGGCTCCCTCGTGTGCTCAGAGCGCCCCCCCACCCCCGCCCTTCCAGGAGGTCACCACCGGCCCTGGTCAGCCAGGTGGGCCTCTGGGGCAATGAACTCCCTAGAGGAGGTGGCCACAGTTCCCTCCAGCCTGAGCTCTTGGGATCTTTCTTGCCGCTAACACTGCCTCTCTCTGCCCCTCTCCCCCCAAGGACGGCATGAACTGGGTCTGCAAAAACGTCAACGCGAAGAAGAAGTAGCGTGGGGACGGTGGAGCCGCAAGAGCCGCGGGAGCCAAATTCGGCCCTGGAAAGCACTGGTTTGCTGTTTCCTGACCCAATGCTTTTTCATCTGTGCACAGGCACCGTTGTGTGAGGAGGGGGACGACAGCTTCAGAAGAGCCCTCTCCAGCCGTAGATTTTAACTGATCTCCAAGGTTCAGTATCGTTTTTCAAATAAAGGAATTATATTATTTCCTCTGCATAATTGAAATAGTATTAAATGTCTCCGAGCACATGATTCGCAGTGAGCAAGAGCTTGCGCTGCAGTTTAGACAATCCCAGTGGGCTTTTGTACAAAAAAAGGAAGAAGCCGCTTGTGCTGAGTCCCTTTGCTGGCCTGGCCCTGCACTCCCTTGGTGGTTGGAAACCACAGCTTGGCCATGCTGGGCAGGGATTTGATTTTTTTTTTTTTTTGTCCTCGTCCCCAACTGAGCCAGGGCTTTAGTCTCTCCAGCAGGAGGCTGGGGGAGGCAGAGGACAGCAGATGATTAAATCATCTTGTCAGGTAGGTAAGACGCTGTATGTAATCCCCACTTTTGGGGCGGGTGGGGGGGAATCCTTGCAAACAGGTCACCACACAGAAACATCCCCACTCCAGGCCCCCCCCCCCAGCCCCCCCACACCTCTCTACCCCTCACCCCTGCCAGCCACCCAGGGAAGCAGATTCTTATGACTTTTGACTGTAATGACATCTGGAATGTAAGAAGTGGGAGGTTTAATTCCAGAAAAATTACAAGGTCCTTGAGAAGCCCTCACTCACACGGAGAGCTCAGGCTAGCGTAAACAGCCTTGCTCCAGCTCAGTGGAGCAGGGAGCAGACTCCAGGTTCGCTGACTTCTCCACTGCAGCCCTACGAGGAGATTTCTAAAGCTCAAAGAATTCTGTGTTTAAATGATCACAATAGGCCGATGCTATCAGATTTTAAAAATAAATGCAGCTTTGCCATGAACCTGCTCCACTGAGAAAAGCCAGGCAGATCGATTTTGAGGAGAGATCAATTTTTATAGTACTGGCAGCTAGGTGGTGTGGGGAGGGAGCATTGCTGCTGGGTGAGCATGGGATGTGCCCGGGGAAGCCACTAACCCCATGTTGCTCTCCTCTACTCTTTCCAGCAAAATGTGCTGTGGACTGATAGGGAGGGGTGCAGAGGCCTTCCCCTCCCCCCATGGCAAAGGGAGCATGTTTCCCTGACCCCTCAGAAGTCCCAGCCTCAAACCCCAAAAGCAGGCCAGAGCAGCGCCTGCTCCTGAATTAAACTCTGTTCTGGGCATGAGCTCAGGGCTTTTCAGAGAATAAATAAGAGACTATCCAATGCTTGGTAGGTCCAAGGAGGCCAGCTGCCTTCTCATCCTGGGAGGTGGCCCTTTCCAAATCCGCCTTTCTGTGTGAACTAACAGAAAATGCCATGGAAGCCCCTGGTCCATGGTACCCAGCTTATTCTGGACTCTGGAGAGGGAGAAGCTTGGACAGTTTGAAAGGTGGCCTGGGATGAATTCCATGAACAAAGCGGGGGTGGGGGTGGGGGGCTGTGGCTGCTGACAGGCCTTGAAGGGCTTGCCAGACAACAGAAGGTGAAGCCTTTACTCCACCCAGCTAGTTCCTGCCACCTCTCCCAGTGGCTTCTCTGGCTCTGAAGGGTGGCAGACAGAGCTTTAAGGAGTCAGGAAAGCCCTTTCTCCAGCCTACGGATGGAGCTTTGGCCTTGAGACTTGCGCTTCCTTCCAAATAGAGCACCGGGATGCTATCTGAAGGGCTGCATGCCTTGCTTTGAGGTCTAGCTTTGGAATGCTGCAGCAGGGGACTTTGACTCAGGAAGAACGTGATCTGTAAAATATTTTTAGTCTCTTACGATCAACTGAAGGACCTGTTCTAAAGAGCCCTCCCAGGCCCCAGCCAGCAGGCAGAGGCACTTGCCCTGCTCTGAGGGAAGCCTCTGTAAATGTCCACATTGCTTCTCAGCTAGAGACACCAAAGACAACTGTGGCTGTCATGGCTTTTGTCCTCCCTGTGAGCCCTGTTGAACCCCCCAGGGGTTCCCAGGATAGATGAGCTGAGCCTGGAAAATGTGGAGTTTGAAAGCTCCCATTTGTAAAAACAAAATACTTGTAAGGTCCCCTTTCCTCTCCTGGTGCCACCCCTGCCCCCTGTGGCCTTGACCAGAGAACCGACTGTGAAGCTAGAAAGGGGATACCCCGCCCCTGTGCCTCCCCCATGCCTCCCCCATCCCCGTGGGCCCTGGTAAGACTTTTGCTCTGCGCACCATTGCATCTGAATGTGCAGGGTGTGAGGGCTGAGGCCAGAGGGCAGGCAGAGTCCACAGTGTATACCCAAACCAGCTGTGGGAAAAGCTGAGCCCTCCTTCCACTCTCCCTGTGTGGCTGCTTTTGGCTGGATTCCCTTCGCCCAGTGCAATACACCCTTTCCCCTTCACTCTCCCTTGGTTACTATGGAAACAAGGGTGTCATTGATGTGGGCTGAGCCGGGGAACATGTCAGCGATTATGCCGGCAGTTAGCTCTGCCCGGTAGAAAAGTCCACAGCCTGAGATGCTGCAGAAGGACAGGCTTGCCGTCACCATCCTCCTTCCTCCTCTCTGTCTCCTAGCTTTGACGATGTCTTTATTCCCCTCCGGACTAAAGGACTAAAGTGGTGGCTATTTTTAATGCCACTCTGTGCCCCACCCTCACTGTTGGCCGCTCCTTTTCCGGCCCGGCCTGGAGAGGGTGACACCATGTCACCCTCCGCAGGACCAATGCCTCCATTCCCATCTGCAGTGGACTTTGATTTCTCCTTCCTCTCCTCCTCGGGACGCTTCTTCCTTTATTTTTAGCTCTGCTCTCCATGTGGTTTCAGGGTTCAGTGTGATCCATCGAAAGGTTCTTTTTTTATAGTCCCTTTTGAAAATGATAATCAAAGGAAGGGACGTGGTGTTTGGTCATGTGGAAAGCTCAATGTATAATTTAGACGTCTGTCAAAAACGCGACAAACAGAATGTAGCTGGAAGGAAGGCAGTCTGGAGTGGGTCGTGCTCTCTTCTGAAGCCCCAGCAGGACCCAAGTGGCTCTGCCCTTTAGGCGCTTGCTTTCCTCTAGGGAAGGCTGTGTTCAGAAAGATGCGTGAATGCCATCTCCAGGTAATGTGGCTCCCCCCACCGCCACTGCAGCAGCAGCAGCAGCAGCAGCAGCAGCAGCAGCAGCAGCAGCAAGTCTTCCTCATGCACCTGGCCAGCAGCCTTAGCCCCACTCTGCAGTTGAAGAAACAGAGGCATTTGCTTGCCTCAGTTAAGGAATTTGCCAGGACCACAGAACCATTAAGGATTGTTGGAGCCTGAAACCTGGGTGCTGGGCCCCTCCCCGCCCTGCTGTTTCCAAAGGACAGAAAACAGCGGAACAGCTGGCCTCCCAGCAGTTGCGGCAGCTGCTGCCGCACGCAGGCCTGCACCAGGTGTCTCCTCTGATAGCACTGCTGCCCCCTGGATTCCTGGTGCCCAGGGCTGCAAGCCACAGCAACACAGTTGCGGGGTTCTTACCTTCCTTTGCTTAGGTTCACCCCTGTGGAGAGACATCAAGAACATCACCAGGCGTGTCACCTGGCTACCAGGGACGCTGGCAATCGCCCAGCCACCTGATGCCTGCCACTGAGTCCTCTCTCAGGAAGCCTCCAATGGGAGAAGACAGTGCCGGCCGCCGGCCTTTGGAAGGTGGAGGCAAGAAGTCCAGGACTTCAGGGTAGCGTAGGCTGTCTCAAAACCTCAGAAGGGCGATGGGAACACTTGTGAAAGTCACTTGGTGGTCAACAGAGGTTCAGGGAGCCAAAGATCTTGTCCTCCCCTTTGCCAACCTACCCATAGGGTCCTTCCTACCCCAAAGGACCTGGAACCTACGAGCTGAGCTGCTGGCAGGAGGGTGGGGACCAGAGGTGGGAGGAGAGAAAAGGCATAGGATGCTAGATGTGTTACAGGACATTGACATTCAGTTCAGCTTCAGTTTTGGAGAAAGTCTCGTTTTTAGTTCACATATACCCCCCCACATCGGGGACGTTTTTAGTTCACATATACCCCCCCACATTGGGGACGTTTTTAGTTCACATATACCCCCCCACATTGGGGATGTTTTTAGTTCACATATACTCCCACCCCGGATTAGGGACATTGTTGTAATACTCAGGGAGATTTAACTGCCATTCTCTTGTTTTGTTTGTCTTTTGATAAACCTGATATTCCTACCAAAGACTAATAAAGCAACAAATATGTATCCTCAACCAGGCAGGGGTGGCACAGGCCTGTAATCCCAGCACTCTCAAGGGCAGCCCAGGCTACATAGCAAGACCCTATTTCAAAAACAACATGAAACAGCTGGCTGGCTGGCCTTTAATCCCAGCACTCAGAAGGCAGAGGCAGGTGGATCTCTGTGAGTTCGAAGCCAGCCTGTCGAAAGAAAAGAGAGAGAGAGAGAAAGAAAAAAGAAAAGAAAGACGGCAAACGGCTCATCTGGTAAAGTCACTTGCTATCCAAGTCTGACAACCTGAGTTCAGTTACCAGAACCCACAGGAAGTCAGGAGGAACAAAGTGACTCTGCAGATAGTAGACACTTTGTGCCTGGGCTTCTGTGCGTAAAGGAGGGAAATGCTCACCAGGAGGACGCATACATTAGAGTCCCTGTGCACAGGCTGTGATCTGTGTGAAATCTCTGTAGCTATTACCAAAAATGGCAGACTTTCCCAGGCTCCCTAGACCTCTGCCCCCACTCCATTCCTTCTGACTTTCAAAGCAACACCCAAGCAGGTCTGCCTGCAGCCTTCCCCGAGGGGCTGGCATACCGCCCCCTCCAGGCTCCAGGGCCATCCCAGGCACACCTCCTGCAATTAGATTTGTAAGTGGGAACAGGCTCTTGTCAGAGGCTCCTGATTGGCTCCAGGCAAAAACACAGTTTAGCGCTCAGTCAAGCTGCATTTTTTGGGCCTCGGTGCCCCCCCATCCCCCTTAATTGCAATCTGTTCTGTAATTTCTTTTTCCAACACTGCAGAACACAGAGAAGCTGCAGCCACCACCAGCAGGGCAGGGAGGGGGGAAAAAGCTCCTGTTCCCCCAAAGCATCTGCTGGTCCAGCACTTGGTGGATACAGAGATGTGTGTGTGTTTGTGTGTGTGTGTGTGTGTGTGTGTGTGTGTGTGTGTACATCTACTGGTCCGACACTTGGTGGATACA